ATGACTAAATTGCCCTCTTGATATATATTTTTATATTTTTTCTATTTAATTTAATGTTTTATTAATAATTAAATGGGACACACACCCCATTCTCTCTCTCTCTCTCTCTCTCTCTCCGTTTTGCTGCCAAGAAACTCCACCGGAGGTGATGCGTTTTCCGGCCACCACCAAGGGCAACAGACCGTTCCTTTCTCCTTCTTCAATCCCAGCTGCCAAACACATCTGCGATTTCCGAGAAGCACCACCCAAACACCCCCGCCCCTTTGTGTTTAACTGTCGGTGACAGGAGGAAAGAAGCCAAGGGAAGCCACCAGAGCAACCTCTGTTTCCTTCGTGATTCACCATCGGAAAATCGACTCCCATCCTCCCTCGTTCTTTCCTGTCGAACAACAACATCCAAACACCCCCCTGTCCGGCGCAGCTACCACTGCTTTGTTCCTTCTTTTTCTTTACTACCAGCGACAAGAAAGGAACCCACGAGGGAACACCAAAGAGCAGCTATCCCCTCCACCATTTGCTCATCGGCTCTACGACAAAACACCCCCGAAGATCCTTGCTCCCTTTGCTTGTCAGAGACACCGACTACTGCCCATCCTCATCAACGTACGAAGCCCCTTCTGCTATTTTTCGGTGCTACTCCTTGTTGCTTACCTTCCCCTCGATCTGTGGCTGCCGATGACGAAGTCAAGGAAGCCAAGAGGATCACCATAAAAATAGGTTCCTTTCCCCCTCGACATATCTACCCTCACAGGTGGCTGAAATCGAGGCAATAGCCTCCTTTCTTTTGTTTTGTTTTTCTGGTGAGCCGAAGAAGAAAAGAGGGAGAGGGGAATCGAGAATTAGCAACAGAAGATGAGGGTGTTTGGGTGGTGATTGTCGGCATAATAAGGGAAGAGGATGAGGGGAGCTGTTTATCTTCCTTGGCAGCCGTAAAACACCGTTTTCGGTGGGTGATCTTGCTGGAAATCAAGAAGAATAAAGAAAGAAAGAACCGTAAGAAATGGGAGAGAGAGAGAGAGAGAGAGAGAGAGAGAGAGTCCTCTTATTTTTTTATTGTTTAAATAAATAAGTAAGTATTAGATTTAAGAAAAATGAAAGAAAAATTGAAAATAAATACCCCAAGGGTACTAAAGTCATTTCAGTTTATCGAGGGACCAAATCCGCAACGAAACTAGCTTAAAATGATCATTATTCAAAAAAGTTGGGGTTTGTACTAAAACCCCAAAAAATACATACCACATAGACTATTTTTGCAATTTTGTCTAATTTAAATAGGGCTTTATAGATATTATCTTTAACCTTTTTTCCCCTATCTTAGCTACTTGCTAATTTAAATGAGGTTTTATATATATTATCATTAGCCGTTTCCAAAAAGATATTTTTTTTCAAGAAATCCTTTTATACCGTATATCATTATTTTATATGATATTAATAAAAAAACAAAAAGTAAAATAATGTTTAATTTTTTTTTCTTATGGGTTATTTTAAAAGGTTTTAGGTCATTTTTGGTCACTTAACTTTTGATTTTGTGCTCATTTGGTCACTTAAGTCTTTTTAAGTTTTAAAAGGTCATCAAACTTTTGGCTTTGTGCTCATTTAGTCACTTAACTTTTGGTTTGGTCACATTTAGTCATCTAGAAATTGTGCTAATTTAGTCACTAAACTTTTAATTTTTTTTAAAAGTTTAGCGACTAAATGAGCACAATTTTAAAAGTTAGGTGACTAAATTAGCACAAATTTAAAAGTTAAGTCACCAAACCAAAAGTTAAGTGACTAAATGAGCACAAAGTCAAAAGTTTGATGACATTTTAAAACTTAAAAATAGTTAAGCGAACAAATTAGCACAAAATCAAAAATGATCTGAACCCTATTTTAAATGAGTATGAAATAAATAGGAAGAAAAAAAAGAGGATATTTAAATTTTCTCAATTTTTCTTTGGCTTATACCTTAGTGAAATGATGAATTCAGATTTGTAATTAGGAGGGAGAATAGTTGTTTGGATTCTACAAAGTTGAGGAAAAATAAAAATCCAAGACAAGAATCGGGACCCCTGGACCTAAACCGAAAGGAAATGTAACCACCTCTTATATATACCCATTTCCAGCCTTGTATCTTTGACCACTTGCACAGTTGCACATACCAGACAAAATGCATGCATGCGAAATGTACGTATTTATAATTAATGTTTGTAGATGGGCAGTCACCTACCCTCACCGGCCTCCTTACATCTCTTCAATTCTTTTTTAGTTTCTCCATTGTAACTTAATTCTCATTTATATTTCTTAATATCAAGTTTCAATATACGTGTTCCTTGTTAGGGAGGAATCTAGATATATCATTAATTTGATGCTAGAGCGTTATATATATATATATAT